CCTCCAATGGTGGCAGAGGAGGTGGTGGCTGTGTTGGTGGTTCCGGTCTCGTGAGTCTCACACGGCGGGTTGGAGCAGACCAGGGTTACAGTCCCAGAGCCATCTCCAGCTGTTCCAGCTTCAGTGGAGCTGGGCTGTTCAGAGGTTGGTGAAGCCAGGATGGACACAGGAAGATCCTGCACTGGTTGGGCTTCAACCCCACTGGGAGTTGTGATCAGAGTCACCTGTGTGGGCTGGTTCTGAAGAGCAAAAACAGACAGACTTTTTTTAGTTGAATACATAACAATAACACACACACAAAAAAAAACATTTTTGCATCTCCAGACATTGCTACATCACCATTACCTCTTTTGGATTTCAATATCCCAACACTTAAGACAAACTACAGCAACAACTCAACTGCTTTACAAACAACATTGAGACAAAAACATGGGTCTTACTTGCACTGTCATAGTAGGTGAGGAAAGTGTGGCAGTAGAAGCCAAGCTAGTCTGAGCAGCTGACACTGTGATGGCAGCTGGACTAATGACCTGGCTGGACAGCGTGGCGATAGTTCCCAATGTGGTGATGGGTGTCACCAGAGAGGCGCTGGAACTGTCAGCTGTGCCTCCTGCTAAGGTAGTGGACACGGTGCCAGTGACTGTGCCCAGAGTGGTGACCCCTGGTGGAATAGAAAATTGCAAGTGAAAATAGAGAAAACATGAAAAGCACAAAATCTAGACTAAATGCTTGAAAAGAATGAACAGGCTCTTTTACCAGTGGTCCCCTTGACAACCAGGGTGGTGACAGTGGGTTTAACAGCTGACACGGTGACTGGAGTAACAAGACGAACACCACCCACCGTGCTCATGGGCACAGTGCGCAGAATAGTGCCAGGTTGTCCAGGAGCACCCTTTAATACCACCTAGAAACAAACCACTGAAGTCTCTTAAAGTGCAACAGGACATGACAAAACAACAACAGTATAAGTCACTCCACCTGCGTCAGTCCCTGCTGCCCAGCAGCAGTGGTGAGTTTGGGCACTGCAGTGATGATTTTACCAGGAGTTCCAGAGGTCATTACCTTCGTGGTAAGAATTGTTATCGGTGTTTTCATACCTGCACTGCTCGTCACACCTGCAAAGTCAACAAAACACATCTGAAATCGTTCTACATCTCATACTGGCAAGAATCCAAAAATAGAAAATAAAATAAGTTATAAAAAAGGTTAATTTTCAAAAAAAATAATAAAATAAAATAAAATAGATTGATTACCAAGAGTTATGTTTCGAAAACACTGTTTACCAATAAAATGTCACACATTTTGTTGTAGCATGCAATCTATCAAATACTCAAGTGCAAACCTGTAGCTCCAGGCTGGGTCATGATGGCCGACATAGGGATGGTCTTAATGATGGTAGTGCCCTGCTTGGTAGTAGCAGGTGAGACTCCACTTATGTTGAGGATCGTGGGCTTGTTTCCTGTGCCTCCTGCCTGGGATGTTGTGATGATCGTTGTGGGTTTGCCATCTGCAGAAGTTACCAGCTTCAATATGGTGCCAGCTGGGAGCGAACCCTTTGTCTGAGAAAAACAAAACACTTATTAAAGCAAACCATTCAGAAAAAGCTACCTGGTGCCTAACTCAGGAGTTTTAAGCTATCTCCTGTTTTTTTTTCTCCTGCACTCATGCAGATAGCTGACCTGTATGATCTGTGTGAGAGGGTTAGTGGAAGCCTGGCCAGTGACAGCTGATGTCTGCACTGGCTTGGTTTGTACCACAGACATCATCTTGCCAAGGTTGGAGATCTGCCGACATAGGAGAGAGACTCAAGTTCATGAGTCACTAGAAAGCATCGGACAGCACAGGGAGTTCAGTGGGTAAAGTAGACCACTAAACCTGTGGCTTTGAGTCATTTCAGCCCTAACTGACCTACAGTCATGCAGATGACTAACATGCTGTATTTTCTTATTCGAGCTCTGCAACAGTCACTGTAGGCCAACCTATACAAGCTCTCCTACTTATCATCGTATGTTGTCACTGTCTTGTGACCAAAACAAAAGACACGTACACCAAGTGTGGAAAAGTAATTTACAAGGTCTGTGATTGACTGCATTCATCTAAAATCACCAAAGGGTGCTTTCTGAGTTGAGTTCATTTAGAATACGCAGTGTTACACAATGTCTACATCCTTACCAGAGTACCACTGCCGCCCATTGTGAGTGGACTCTTGACCAGGGTGATGGTCTTGGTGACTCCTCCCACCACGGTGGTCACCACCTGAGCCTGCTGAGCCACTGTGACAGCACCAGACTTGTGCACAGTGATGATGGGTCTGGTTGTGGTGGGAGAGGACGCAGTTGCTATGCCCACCTGGGCTGCAGCAGTCTTCAACATCCGGGTGGCCGGGTTACTGACCTACGAGCACAAAATGATCTCAACATAACTGACGGACTGCACAGAGTGTTAGAAATGAGGACATTTAATTTGCTGTGTACCATTACAGGTGAAGCCACTTTCATTGTGGTTGTGCCTGGAGAAACAGCAACTGTTTTGAGAATAGTGGCACCTGCAGGAACATTGAGGACGGTGCCTGCAGACGAGGGTGGGATCTTCTGTGTAGCTGCAGCCGCAGCAGCTAAAGCTGCCATACCACTCATCTGAGGACTACTACCAATTGGCTAAAAATGGAAAAGCAAACTATTGTTGGAAACAGATCTGTAGATACAATGTAAAAACAATTCACACAACAGTTTTAACATAAAAGTGTGAAAAAGCTCATACCGAGCCTTGGGTGGTTTGGGTAGGCACGACCATTCGAACACCTGGAGGAAGAGATGTCACAGTGACGGGGGATTTCCCAGGCTGACTGGGACGAACTGTGACAACAGATGCACCAGTGGCTGATTGTTGAGCTGCAACCTTTAAAACAGCTGTAAAGCAAATAAATAAATAAATAAATAATCAAGATGTTGCTCTTTTAAAAAGGAACTTATTTTCTGTTGAAGCAATGAGGTCCAACGTGTAGGGATGAGAACTATACCCGTCTGTGGTAAACTTTGAGCAGAGGGTGCTGCAGCTGCAGGAGCAGGACTTTTTGGAGAGTTAATAGGCTGTGATGGGGTTGCACTCGTGGCTGGGGAGGCTGCTGCTGGGGTTGCAGGAATATCATACTTCTGCAGCTGCAGCAAATATGTGTCAGCTGTGGAAACTGCACCCCAGCTCACTTCCAGAGAGTTTGTGTTGGCACGGACTAGCTGTACCCTGGCAGGAGCATGTGGCCGATCTGAAGCATGAACAATGGCAACATTAAAAACACTTTCACACCAAAAACTTTATTTTCGGACATGTTACAGCACACCTACCTGTTTCCAGGTACCAAAGGTCTTTACAACAGACTTGGTTATTCCATGCTTTACGATAACCATCACGACCACTCCATACATAGAGCCTGGAGTTGATGGCCACAGCACAGTGGCCGGCACGGGCCCTGGGGATGTTATCTTCAAGAGTATCCATCAACACTGTTTCCCAATACATGGAGTCTAACAAAAAAAGAGAAAAAGATTAACACTGGAACAGAATGTTTATTTAATGTGGTCTTTTTCAATACAAAGTCTGACAAAGTTGGACAAACCAAGATTTAGGCATGCGAGAGTGTTTGTGCATTTCCACTCTTTCTCATGTGTGGCCACTTTGACATCATCCATCACTAAAGGAACCCATCCACCAAAAACATACATCCTATAAAGTGAGAGGGAAAGAAAAAGAAAAACATCATACATAAAAATGCAGCAAAGCAAACATTTAACAGAATTCGACCAGTGTTAATTTATCATGTGCATTGAGAAAATGTGAGGCAGTCTTCTCACTTGTTTGTGATTGTGGTGGCAGAGTGAAGACTTCGTGGAAGGGGAGCTGTGCCACCTACTGTTGGTTTGTTCCATGTCAGGGTATCTGAGAACAAAGAACATATTGAATCAAATCCAACATTTATTATTAGGGAAATTCATCCAACTCACCGTCAAAGCTTTTCTATTTCTCTGGAGTAATGGTATTGAAATATCATAATTACTTTTTTATTGTGGTGTGCAAACAACTCTTTTTAACATTTAATGTATAAGAGGTCATTTGTCTGATATATTTTTTTTACACAATAATAAAACCTTACCAATATCAAGTGTCCACAGATCCCCGAGACGACAACCGCTCATTCCTCCATAGATTATCAACCGAGACTTCCTGGTTGTTTTCTCTGTGTACACCACAGCAGTGTGACTCTCACGAGGAGGTGGCAGAACTCCGTACGTGATTGGAATATCCCATCCAACCACGCTTGAACCCGGACGAAGCTCAAGTGTGTACAAATCATTCAGGTATCTGAGAAATAATACAAAAATCACACTTATGTTGCTGACTTGGGGAAATTTTTAGTGATTGAGGACCCTGCAGGCTACTGGTGGAAAAACATAATTACCTGGGAATGTTGTTTTTTGGGTCTTCGCTGTCATTGGCCAGTCCACCAAACAGGTAGCATTTGTTACCAACCAGTGAAAAGCTGTGGCCAAGACGAGGACATGGAGGGGGACCGTTTTTGGGATTTTTTGCTTTCAGTTTTTTCCACTCCCATCTGCTGGCCTGTGATAGAGACCGTAGTAAAAGCAAGAGGTTAGTCGTTTAGGTTAAAGCAGAAGCTCAAACCCACAGTCCTTTCACCAAAACTGCGACACCAATCTTCTGTGTTGTATTTATCTTGCACCCCTACCCTTTGTACAGCTTCATTTAAGATGAGGTTGTCAATATTTATTTAGTAAACAACCCATACACAATTCAAAAACTTTAACCCTTCAGCTTAAAGTTTAATCGGGTAAAATTAAGAAACTAAAAAGCATTAATAGCTACACAATGCGCTACCATATTAGTGTTTTACAAACACTTCAGTTGTAAAATTCACTGACAAACTTGTTTCTCAAAGACAGTTCAATAAGCATGCTCACTGCATGTATTATGTTTCAATTATTGTGTTACTATGGAGCTGCGCACTGTGCCTAGTCTTATAATTATATTATTACCATGAAAAGAGATGCACTGATTACTCAGCAGGTGACACGAATCAGCTGCTTTCAGCAACACTAGTGAACAACTGATTAGGCACTCAAAGCTTAACCCACGTGCGATAATCTTGAGCACAGATCTTCAGTGCCAGAAAATATGTTAAAACTTTAATTTAGCAAATTTTTTATTTTTTTATATAAACACTCGTGTCACTGCACCAGTGCATCTCCAACTATAAACTAACAATGAAACATTCTTTTCCCACCACTAAAAGTACCTGACGGAGTTACATAAACACAATAAAAAGATAAACGTTTGCCACAGAAAGTTCCATACAAAAAAAAACTGCTTCCTCTAAATTTACATTGCAATACATTTATGACAAATGCTGTCAAACACACACTTAATTCACTTAACTGCTCACATATGCTAAAATAACTTAAAATATTGGGTATATCTGTGTTTTCTCACTTATCCCGAACATCCTAATAGCTTAAAAACAAAGCAGCTATATTTCTTTCAGCTGACGATGCTCGTCACATAAGAAGCAAAACATCTTCAAATAAGAGAAAAAGAGTGCCTTGTTTTTAAAACTCATAGGAATATTGGCCCTGAAACGATTAACAGCTTGAACCACATGCTGTTGTGTATTATTTATATGCAAACCAAATGTAAACATTTGCTTTTTTTCTCCGCACAAGAAGATTACCTGTAGCTCATAAAGATCGTTGCTGTACTTTCCATATTCCACCATTCCACCAAACACCAGCAACCTTGTGCCATCACACACAAAGCCATACGCAGCACAACCAGGTGGGATATCACCGCGGACCGCTGGGATAAACCACTGGTTTGTTGCTAAAAGTCAAAACAAAAAGTTGGGTTTTATTTCTTGCTGTACAACGCGATCAACGGCTTTATTACACAAACAATGCCGAATTCTGCACATTAGTAACAGTGAATAACAGTTCTAGTAGTGCAGCTACGTAAATTAGATTCTGTGCCAATAAACAGAAACAAACAACAATAGTTAAGTTATTCTCCTTGAGGTTGCACACACCCCCTGCCTGTTTCCTGTTCATAACCTCATCCATTTTATTTTAGCCCGCCTTTTTTAACCGTGTCATGAAACACTTCTCCAGCAGAGGGCGACAATGTAACCACAGGTTTGTTTGGCCTACTGAGGCCTGCACAATATTTAACTTCAGACATTAAACACATCTATTGCACTTACGCGTTCTGTGAAAAAAAAAGTTGTATATATTTATTTTTAACAAACCTTTATGGTATGCGCAAATATGCTGAGCACAACTATTTACCGCCTGCAAAAAACAACAACGATCCACATGCAAGCTAACTTACCTGTGTTGTATACATGTAGCTCGTCAACAATTCCTTCGTTTCCGCCGCCAAATACGACCATAAGCTCCTTTATAGCCACAGCTCTGTGTCCATGTCTTGGCCGGGGAACCGGACCGGACCACCCGAGGACCCTTTTCCATCGCGGCTGCAGAACCGACGCAGTGGTCCCGGTCACTGCGGAGCCAGGGGCAGACATGACTTCTGCCGGAGGGAACATAAAAAAAAAGCATTTTCATTCCCCGAAGCTTTGGTTTAACTTTAATAACGTTGTAATCTTTAAAAACGCAGCTGCAGCATGTTACCGAGCACTGCATCGAAAGCATTTGAGCTGTTTTTAGCGATCCGCAGCGGCAGAGCTAAAGAAATGTTAGCGGCAAAGCTGCATCAGTACTCAACTCAAACCAAGCAAGATGCTAGACGTTTTGATCCACTTTTACTTATATTTCTTCATTTATATTTGAAGCTATCTTAAGAGACGCATTCATTTTATATTTTTATTATGATAGGCATCCAAGTTTCCTCCAAGTTGTTTGAATTCAGTCCATGGAAGCAGCCATCTCGCAACCAAACAAACCGCCGCTAAAGCTACAGCCCGTCTGAAAAATGGCGGAAGCGTATTAAAAGGCTAAATACACGGGAACTAACCCACTGCACCGGCAAAGAAAAACAGCACAATAATAATAAACACTACAGATTAAACGTTGACCAGAGAAGCAGGGGGATACAAATCCGCAACAATGGTTTAACCTAAACTTTAAATTGTTAGCGAGAGTCGGCTATTTTCATAGCTCTCATATTGTAGCTAGCTAGATTAGCATTTTTGCAAAAGATTTACCGCAAAAATCCATGTTAAAAAGTCACTCGAAGCTAACAGAAACACGCACAGTTGGAAAAAAAATCCTATTTCTCAAATCCCATCGAACTGAGTGCCCAAATAAACAAGATTTTGTTTAGACTGCAGCTGTAGCATCAAAATAAACTGCTAGCTTCGCTAGCTCTTGCTGTTAGCCTCTTAGCCTAAATTACCCATGCTAACAGCGTTAGCATTGCGGATCGCATCTGTCAAAGCGTCGCCAAATTTCACAATTAAGTTCCACCTAGATTCAAGTAATTCTCGCATGCATCATTTACCTGATACAAATTCGGTTGCACCAAAGGTATTAAAACGTAGCTAAACGTAGTTAAAGAGCTCAAACGCTGTGTTACTATGTTTCATGCCGTCTCTGGAAGCAGCCATCTTTTCGACAATCGGCCTTTCAACAGCTCCCACAAGAAAAATGGCCGGGCGGTTTGCGACAACAAAACACAACAAACCGAAAAAAGGCACACGGAAATAAAAGTTTCACTTACTTTATCAAATGCAGTAGATGTAAAAACACGGTTATGTGCTCTTATCTTGTGTCAGTAATTCAAATTCATTCAGTTTGTAGAGAAGTATTTGCTCTCATGCCTGCCTGGAAGCTGCCATCTTCTTGACAACCAGAGGCGGAGGAAAATGGAAGAGAGTCACCCAAAGTAAACATGGCGACGCCGACCCGCTCGATTGAAAAAAACCGTCTCTAACCCGTACACAAGGATTTATATTATACATTATAAGTTAGTAAATAGTTTCCAGTAAGCGGATATACTTTACCAAGCACTTAAAATCTTTGTAATGTCGATACGTGACGTATTTTATCCAATTATAGCAAGTTTAGTTAAAGCGGCAGGGTTATTGTCCCTTACTAAAGATGGCGACATGACTTGTACTGAAACCCCGTTTTATTTTTCATATCTCGGGTGATGCTTATTTTATACACCCCCCAAACATACTTAATGAGACCCATGCGTGCAAAATGATAGTGTATGCGAATTGGGAAACAATTTATATATATTTTTAAAATATAAAGTTGACACACCCACGTATACCGTTAGCGCGCCCTCCAGAGACATTTACACGCTTCACTTCTGATAAATGTTGGAAAAAAAATAACATTTGTTTGGTTGGTCCTTGTTTTTCCTTGTCTGCTCAACTAAACAGCAAATAAAAACCGACTCAACCAAATTAATGGCTAAACAGTGACAGAAATACAACATAATGAGTATATTTTCTTATTAAATTATATGCTATTAATCTCAAATTATCTTGTTTGCTATTGTTTTATGTAAGAAAATTAACATTTTGAATGTAGGACTTAAATTCAAAATTAGAAGTGAACAAGTTATCTTTCATTCATTCATTTACTTATAGACTTATTTACATAATTTTTCATTCTGTCTGTTTCATTCAGTCATTTAAGGATCACAATGAAGTTACTTCATAGTGAAATTAACAGAAATGCACATCACCCCCTTTTCATGTCAGAGTTTCAAACTTAGATCATTTTATGATGAGAAATGATGGAGTTATAGCTGTTTTGATCAAATCTTGAAAAATAATGTTATGCACCATCTCATGAGATGTCATGCTCAGAGTACCTGTTATGAAAAACTCCCAGCTACTACCACCAGGGGCACCACCAAAGGGAGACCAGGTATGGCCACTTCTTGCCTTCACTGGCCCCCCACTTTACCAGAGTATCCTTCAGAGTCTTGAGCTTTGTTTGGGTGTGGATTTTTAAATTGATGGACTCTAAACATTAAATCAGGTGAAAATACACAGTCAACAATTCATTAAAAAAAAATCCTTCCAGATAATGATATTTTGCTAACATAGAGTGAACTTCATCAGTTATTGCTAATGTTTTAGGCAAAGCTTTTTCACAGCGAACGATACCTGGAGTGTGTGCTATGAATAACTCAGCTGACACATTTAACACAATATCTTTAATGTTGACTGAATCAAATTAATTTTTGTGTGTTCTAATAAGGTTGGATCCAAAAAGTATAGTCAGTTGTGGATTTAAGTCCAAATATGTCCTGAAGGTTTCACCAAAACTCATTCAGTGCTTCATGTCTTTTTTTTTAACAAATAGACAAGGTTGACTTCAAATTGTAAGTGACAAGAATGTAAACAAAGATCTTGAGTAAATGTTGAGGATCAGATTCAGCTACCAACGCCCCAAGTTTTAGATCAACACCTGATCGAGTTAAAGGCATTTCTGTGTTTTTAGGGCGGTTTGCTGATCCGAAAGTTAGTGACAGAGGGGGATCCTGTGATTACTCACTGTAAAAGATGCAGTAAAATTTTGTCCAGTAGTTTACAAGATATTTTTGTAACAGACGGACACATTAACTCACACATAGGCAAACCACCACTCACCTTCACCTTTCAGCTGTAGACAATAAATATAATTTATTAGGCCAGTGAGTCATTAAACATATGAGGGAACTTGAGACAATCTCCAGAAATTACAAATGACAGTAAATATGATCTATAGTTGATTTCTAATAACACAGTGTTGCCATAAATGTCTCACAATAATAATAATAATAATTAAAACGTAAGTCATTAAGTGGTAATTGCTGAGGCTGTTTGTGCTGTCATATCTTTTTTCATTTTGTTTATTTGTGAGCCTTGTACACTTCAATCATTACAAGTTTCGGCTGCTGTTGTTTAGTGGGTGAGAAACTGAACATTTTAGGAACCATTGTTTTAGGTCCTGCATGTTTAGACAAAATGTAAACAATATTTTACAATTCTACTATGTCTATTATTATTTACTTAAAAATAACCTATTTATTATTGTTATTATTAACTAGTTAAGTATAATTTAAATACATGAAATTTTCATGAGTTTTGTTGCTGTACATATTCAAACAACAAATAATAATGCAGTTTTCATCTGAACAGATTGTACTGGACAGTAAACTACAGTGCTGCTTGCTTGTGTGAACAATAAGTGCTTGTGGATAATTACAGCATCTATTTATTTACAAAAAAATTTATCAACAAGATCTTAATTTTTTTTATTGTTTCCTCACATCATCCCAAGTCATTTTTGTTGCCATAAAAATGTTTATATTTATAGTTGCAGCACATTAAACAATTAAAACATTTTAATGACACAAAGTTGTTGAGTTGCAGTATATTTTTATTCCATAAGATGGCAGAGTTACATTTCTTTTTTAAGGCAGCTCACTATGTTCACAAAGTTTGTACATTTTGTGACGGCACAAAGGCAAGAGGGTTTTGATTCTTACCATATTTTTAGATTTGTAATAAACTGACACGCTCTAATAAATTGAGACTTTTTATGATTGTTCTTGATTTATATTTATGCTGCCAGTGCCATCTTGACCAGGATTTTCTAGAAGAAGAGATGATTTATCTCGATTAGACCATCCTAGTAATAAAGTACATCAAAAATGTATCTATTCAGTACAGGTTTACAGACACAACAAAAAACCTAAAATATGTTTCTGAATTTAAAAAGCTCTTTTGAGGATTTGCAAATTAAAATTCTGAGTAGTTAGCGGATTTTAATGTGTCATCACTGTGTCATTCACTGAACCCGTTTTCTCTTGTGCAGGGTGGTGGCCTGTACAGTTAATTATGGACTTTATCTTTAGATTCAGTCCTGGTCAAGACGACAGTCCAGGACTGAGCACAAGACATACAAGCAAGCACCCGTCCACCCATATAAGGCTAGTTTGAAATTTTCAGTAAAAGGTTTTGGATTTGTAGAAAGACACAAGATAATTCAGAGAAAACACAGGGAAAATATAAAAATAGCACAGAACCAACAACCTTGTTGTGAGGCTTACAGTATTAAGCATAACATCATGCAGCCTCCTGCTTTCTCTCTTCATTCAAATAAGTTTTGGGTGTTTTATTTTGGCCATTTTGTTAAGAGAGGAACTGAGCTGACAACTAATCACTACCTGGTAGACCAAGTAGACCCACATGTGTAGTGAGAGTTTGCTGGAAACGTCTGGCAGAAGAACACATCAGAAAGATGTTCAATTTGCACCTCCAGTAGAGCTTTAACCACATCCCAGCTGAAGAGGGAGACATTGAGACCGAATGTGCCATGTTCCGCGCCTCAGTTGTTAACGTAGCTGCCTTGAACTGTGGATGGAAGGTTGTCGGTGCTTCTTGTGGCGGCCATCCTCGAACTTGGTGGTGGACACCCCGGGTTAGGGAGACTGTCAAGCTGAAGAAGAAGTCCTATCGGGCCTTGTTGGCTGGTGGGACTCTTGAGGTGGCTGAGGAGTACCGGAGGGCCAAGCGATCTGCAGCCTTGGCTGTTCCTGAGGCAAAAGCTCAGATATGGGAAGAGTTTTGTGAGGCCTTGGATAAAGGCTCTGGTCGGCTCTGAGGAGATTCTGGCAAACCATCAGGTGGTTGAGGAGGGGAAAGCAGCACTTTACTAATGCTGTGTTCAGGTGGGTTACTGTTGACCTCAACCAGTGGTGTTGTCGGGAGGTGGAAGGACTACTTCTCGAACCTTCTCAATCCTACCAGCACATCTTCCATGGAGGAAACTGAGTTGGGGGACTTCGGGGATGGTCTGTCTATAACCGTGGCTGAGGTCGCCAAGGTACCGGTAGTTAAAAAACTACGCAGGATCAGGGCTCCGGGGATGGATGAGATTCACCCTGATTTTCCTTAAGGCTCTGGATGGTGTTGGGCTGTCTTGGTTGACATGCCTTTGTAATGTCACATGAACATCGGTGGCCGTGCCACTGGATTGGCAGACTGGGGTGGTAGTTCCCCTCTTCAAAAAGGGGGACCGGAGGGTGTGCTCCAATTATAGGGGCTTAACTCTCCTTAGTCTCCCTGGTTGGTAAGGTCTATTCATGGGTACTGGAGAAGTGAGTCCAGTCGTTAGTCAAACTTCAGATGCAGGTGGAACAATGCGGGTTCCATCCCATAGAATAATGGACCAGTTCTTTACCCTCACTAGGGTCCTCGTTTTGTGGACTTGGAGAAGGCTTTTGACCGTGTTCCTCGAGGTACACTGTGGGGGATGCTCTGTGAGTATGGGATGTGGGCCCGTTGCTACAGACAATATTGTGGAAACTACACAGATCCATCTGCCTATCTCAAACTCCATTCTTACCTCACTCATGAACAGAACTCCATTATACCTTAACTGCTTTACTTAAAGTAGTACCTCACTCCCAACTTGGAAAGGTCAGTCCACCCTTTTCTGACTGAGGGCCACTGGCCTTAGATTTGTAAGTGCTGATTCTCAGCCCTGCTGCATCATATTTGGCTGTGAACCATTTCAATGAGAGCAAGAACTTGTGGCATGATGATGCCATCAGGATCATGTTATCCACAAATAGCAGATACATACTCCTTAGGCCATTGAACTGGACCTCCTCCAC